CCTGCGATCTCCTTTTAAAAGTCCTGCCGATGTGCTGCCGCAGACCAGTTGAAATCCCGTCCAGATCCTGGCCGAAGCCGCAGTCGAAAGTGCAGCAAAAATCGAAAGCGCTGGTGGTCTTTGTCTTTTGTTTGCTGATTGCATTACGTTCTCGGAGCTTTCGGCAGATCTGCTGGAATATACATACCTCTCTGTATGTAGAGCAAAAGTTTTAAATTAAAAGTCCAACGCCAGCTTATGGAACAGTTTATAGCCGCTTAAGCCGAAGGAAACCATACGGACGGGATTAAGTGGCTGCGGATTGAAAGGAGGCGGAAAATTTCCACTTGGTGGTCGAAACAATGGACTCGGCCATTGGCTATCGTTTGCCGGTTATCGCCAGTATGGCGCCATAAAACTGAAAATATAATTACTTACTTTTAGCCGCCCCACCTATACATTTCAATTGCCAAATTCACCCGAATTTTAAGTGACGTCAAACAAATTTCAGGCGAGTTTCTTTGCTTGTAATAAACAATTTTTCCCTGTTTGATTTCGCTTGCTCTTTTCGAAACTTTCGAATGAAGTCTCCGGGGAAATGGAAAGTAAACTGTTGGCACATGTGTGTTTATATTGCTAATAACTTGACGTCTGCCTCTGTATTTGTCTTTGGCGAAATGAAATTAAATTCCTCGTGTCAGTCGAGGGAGCATTTAGGCTCCAGCCTCGTTTGAAAAGCGCTGGGGCTGCGGTAAAGGACTCCTCCTCCTGTCACAATCAGAAACGAAGGCCCCGGGTCCGGAATGTGTGCGTTGCAGCCAGGGTGCTGCGATATGTGCCACTCGTAACCCAAACTAAAATAGAACTTTGATGTCGGGCGACATCAGCAACAGTTTGCTGGCCAGCGAGGATGGCACTGGGATAATAATGGCCGGGGGTTCGGGGCGAGATGGCGAGTCCTAATTAGTTTTTATTACGATGCACATGTTGCTGCCATTCGTTGGTCAGGTGCTTTCCACTTTTCTGTTGTTCCACTCTACACTGGGCAAAAATCTGTAGCTGACTTAATAAGTTCCATTTTCTTGTAAAGTTATCCTAATTGGCTCTAGTATTTGTAATTTGGTGGGGGAAAATTGGTTGATAGGCCGTTGCCCATTTTCATAAAGCGCTTTACAGCCATTAGCTAATGGCTACCCCTTTTTTGCAGTGCACGGGCAACAAAAGCGGCAACAGTCGCTTCCGATTCGTGGCTGTGCTGCTGCCGGAACCGGAAACGGATGTGGATGCGTGTGTGCCGGGGTCCAGCGCAGCAAATGCAACTGTTGCAGGTGAAATGCAACTGCGGGTGCAACAAATGCAGCGACCTATGCAGGACGTATGAGTACTGTGGAGTGGCTGGGAGTGGTTTTAAGTGCAAAACGCATCATGTGGTTAATGCACTTTAATTGCCCTTGGCCAACCCAAACTAACCCGCTGGCAGTGGTGAACAGTGCTGCAGTGCAGCCCACCTGACCCACCTGAACCACCTGACCCACCTGCACCACCCACTGGCCCGTGCGCACCATTTAACTTGATTAAAATTCGCATTTGGATAACTTTGAGGCACTTCTAAACCGTAACAAAGGCGGAGCGCAGCACTAAAACGTAATATCCACCAGTAAAATCAACTGGAAAGCCCGGACCAGCCAGTAAATCTACGACACACAAAGGAAATGTTACGGCTCAGCCTCTCTCGCTCGCACGCCGAGTGCCATCCCGCTCTCTTCCGACAATTCCCCGGCGTGCAATGAAAGCGTTAATAAATTTCATGAGTCCTCGCATAAAAACTTCCGCCCAGCTTCCACGTCGACTCGCTTTTCTCGCTTTGAAATGCAAATTTCTGCTCCTACGCTGCACGCCGCCGACCTCTTGCAAAAATGTAAATCACATTCACAATCAGATTAAATCTCAATAAGCATTGGACTAAAATTCAAATGCCATTTTGCCATTAGACCGCACAAACATTATCACAAAAATCAAGGCCCCCAACAAAAGTTTCCCGCAGCTCTGCCCCTTTCACAATTTTCCTCCCATTCAACCACACATATGGCGCAGCAGGCGGCATTTCCCACTCCCATTTTCTTCTTAGTATTTATTTAAAAACATGGCAGCAAATGCGGAGCAACACGAAAATGTTGCATTGAATTAACATTTAGGGAACACAAAAAAATGTCCGTGTTCGGCAAACAACAAGAACTGAGCTACATGTTACACATTTTTAATGTTCTCTGATGGCGCTAAAAAAAAGAACAATAACGCACGAAAAAAAATAAAAAAAGTGCAAACTAAAAATAAATTAATGCAAATAATTTACAATGGAATAAAGTGTTGACAGGGAAAAGTTTTCCCTGCGAAATTTGCATAAAAAACTTATTACCCATTTACCTTTGCGGGAGAAGCAGTCAACTTAAAGCGCAAAGGGCCCTTTCAACATGTAGAGTATTCAAGGGTGCGTGTTTAAATGATCGATTTTCATGTGTTAAGTGAATTCTCAATGGTTGGTAACTTATCGTTTTAAAATCGATCTAATCGAACTTACTAAGTGAAAATACTATTTATAGGTAGAAAAACAGGGTATTACAGTCCAGCTTTCAGTTTACTTAGATACATATTACTCAACAGGTTTCAATGCCACATATCAAATAAGCAATATTTTTTATAATATGTATATTTTTTATAATATGTCTGCGGAAGAAGTAATAACTGCAGCTCAACTGCAATACTTGTCATGCTTCCTTAAAATCATTGACCATTAAAGCATATTTGATTTAAGAATCGGTAAAACATTCTACATGTTTAATTGCTTGCATAAATATCTAAACATCAAATAAATTAATTTATTTACGTTGCTTTGATTCCAAATGCATATGCGCAAACAAAAATGTATTTACACTCATTGGAAATTTACGGACACTTTCACGGTATTTAATTTTTGTTTGCCATCATAATCTTTCGAGTTCGATTTACGAGTAATGAATGTAAATTCACGTTTAATGCTTTAATGTCTGCTGCAATTATATAAATAAATGTAAGATCCTTTTCGAGGGGCTTCCACCACCGACTGCTGTGCTCTTTTCCGGATGCACTCTTGAAATTAAAACTGCCATTGTGCGTGACTGTCTAGACCCCGCATTTATTTGCCAGTTGAGCTGCAGTAAACAAAGGAGATGACAGCGGCAAAGGATGAAGCATTAACAAGAACGGCCGCAAACAATGCGCAACAATATCCATCCTTACCATTCTGTCGCGCACCGTACGCAGCATTCCATTTTTAATGACACCAGTCAACAGCAAATGCGCGCAGCTGGAGGTTGTGGACCAAAAGGACCTTCCGCTCGTATTTAAAGCGACACTCGAGCTGTTTCCCCTCATAACTCGCATAAATCATTGCGCTTTTCGGGCCCGTGTAATGAAAGTGCTTAACAGCTACTCGAGATCTGAACAGAAGCTGAAGAACACGCTGAAACAGATACAGAAGCCGCAGTGTAAAGCCACTTCAAGCGCATTACATGACTTACCACTCCACGGATCCCCAGGAGCAGGAGTCACTCCACTCCACCAAAGAGCCAGTGCTGCTGGGATTGGGAGTGGGAGTGGGAGTGGGAACCATCAGGCTGAAATGAAATGATATGACACCGGCAGCGACAACCCAATCTGATTTGGGAACGTGGGGGAACCATGACTGGTGGTTTACCTTGGTGACTGTCAGGACAAATAAGACGGCTGGCCACATTCAAATTAGCACTTGTCGCCCGGTAAATCTTTCCTCCCAGAAAAGTTCCGCTGGAGCAGATGCGCCTGGCAGGCAGAGCACTGAGAGAAATGCAGAAGGTAGTTAATTATCTTCCTATGGGTATCTTCACATGATTATCAAACAGCGTTCTTCATACACTCTTATCAATTTATTTATTGGGTTATTGTTACGAGTAATTCCTGAGCCTCTTTAAAGATTGATTGCTTTTGCCGGCCACAGACACTCGCAGTCATTCATTATTATTAGGTTCTAAGAAATAAATTATATGATATCTGCAGAATGATTTCCCATATCTACAGATATGTTTTTAGTGTAGTACCACCAAAAGTTGGCTCTGTCTGCACTTTATGCTTTTGATAAATCGTTCCAGTTGCGACGACTTTTCCACAAAGGTGCTTGGAACAATATCTCAGCTTATAAATCTTGTTTGGTCTATCGCAAGAAGTATGCGAATCCCCACATGTGTAGCCATTTTCCCCATTTTACCGGGGCGTTGTGTTTTTGATAAATACGCAGCCCCATTCCCAAGATACTTTTCCAAAATGTTCTTGTACACACACATTGACTGCCTCGCTAATTAGATGATAGTAAATTCGTCACCCAAACATTTGTTGATTATTACTTTTTTCAATTGCGTTTTTTCAATTAGATCGATATACGAATTCGGTTCGTGGCAACAGGTGATAACTGAATTCATGGAAATTTTCACGGGGTTTTCACTCTCGATGACCCTAAGCAAAGTTCCTTATCACCCTTGGGTCTATCTATTCTGAGAAGTGGCTTGCCGCTGTTAGATATATGATATATGGCCATGTAATGGAGAGATTAAAATCCCAGCTGAAGTGTCTATTTAAGGTTATTTCCCAAATCACTGACTCTCAAATAGAAAGCGATACCAGCAAGCCGAATGCCATGATTCAGCAGGGTAAAATTAGGTCTTATATCATAAATGACAGAGATAACAGCCAGCACAGGCAGACTTTCAGCCACCAGGGGGGTGTGCTGACTTATCAGACGACACGGTCCCTGATTGAAGTGTTATTTAACCTGGCAACCAGCTATCTTAGCCTCTTTGGATATGAGTCCTAGCTCTGGAAAGAGCCAACTTCGTGAGAATTGCTCATGTCTTCTTGCCAGAATTTATCTAATCGTATTGCATTGCCAATTAGCAGCTAATTTTCGACCCTGATGGATCTCTTAACTGGGATGCTGAGGTATAAAAGGCGCAGCAATTCTTCAGAGTCGCCAGATTGAAATTAATTGAAGCCATAAACATGCAGCTTTTCACACGAGTTATCCTCTTGGCCGTCACCGTTTTCAGCGTGAGTTCCATTACCAATTATGGTAACTGTGGTTTAAGACCTATCGAAAACAAAGTTAACTTGTGTCCTTTAAAGTTTGACACGCAATAGTCAATAGGTGTATTTATTGTTTTGGGGACAATCTTTACAACTTTTTTAATTCAACGATTTGGCGAGACGAGTCAATTTTAGTGGCGTGTGTAAGCTGTTATCACTTTAAAAGTTGATATTGAAAAATAATCAAACTTCGATTGCCGATTTTAACCACTTAAGTCTAATATTTAAGAAATATGTATTTGAAATCACTTGCCTAAAGCAATAAACATTATTTTGCCTTGATCTCAGGTCAGTGCCGTGCCGCGTTTCGGAGAAGATGTTGGTCTGGAGCAGGTCCTGTTTCGCATGGTCCTGGGAGAGGCTGAGGGTCGGGGTCTGACTCCTGCTGCCCAGACTTGTGCCGACATCTACGTGAATGCCACCGGGAAGTATGGCGATAAGTTGGCCAATGCCACCACCGCTTGCGAGGAGGCAGCCGATCGCACCAATGGTGCCAACACCCAGGTCACCAACGCCACCATCAACCAGATCCGAGTCCAGTTGTTGACCCTGGAGCAGAACCTGCAGCTGTGCCGCAACGAGACCGACTCGGCAGTTTTCCTGAACTGCACTGTGACCTCTGTGAGTGTGTTTACGTTACATACAATTCAATCAACATGCTGAACCCCACTTTCCACCAGTTCGACAAGAACCTCCAGCTGCTGGACACCTCCAACTCTCAGGCCTACCGAGCTAAGTCCCAGTTCGTTTCCAATGCCACTCAGGTGAATGCCGAGAAGTCCAACTGCATCAGCTCAGCTGTCAGCGAGGCCAAGGTTCAGTCCATCCAGGCGGCCAATGACTTCAATTCGTGCCTAGACAAGATCCCCACCCAGCGTGAGGTGCCCCAACAGAAGGAGCAGCAGAAGAAGGAGCTGCAGCTCACCCAGGTGCCCAAAGAGCAGGTGTCGCAGATACCCCAGCAGAAGTTCGAAGATCTGCCTTTGACCAACTAAGTTCAGAGAGAAATAATTAATAAACTGTTCAACTTCACAGAGATCAATCCTTTTAGAGATTCTTCTAGGCTTACTCAGAAATCAAATCTGTATCTGTAACAATCAATCTAGAGAGTTATATTTATCAATTAAGACTCATTAGGCCGGGTATTCATCGTATTACTTTACATTATCATTTTGATTCGGTTTTTTCCTTAGAACTGTCACCGCGAATTTTCCCCTATTATTAATGACCAATCATGCCATCAAGCCCGCTGAGAACATAAACCTGCGGAGTTTCCCGAACCCCTAAAACGGTTACTCACCAAAGTCTTTCAACTTTTTGCCACTTCCCCAGCCAGTTCCGCACTTGCAGGGCTTTATCAAGATGATGACACTTGGGCCACCCATTGTTATCATCAATTAGAATGCTAAAGACTTATCACCTGCCCGTCCGACTATTTGCTGATTGCGGTGGGCGCCCGAACAATTATAGATAAATCCAATTTAAAAAGGGAGAATAAAAACAAAATATAAAAAATTAAATGCGCGCCGCTTTAAATTGGTCACCTGCCAGCGAAGCCACCTCAGAAACGATTTGAACCGCCATGATGGAGGTTCCCTGCAAAATTTTAGCAGTGTGTCTGCTGCTCGTCGGCGCTCAGGTGAGCATACCAAGCCCACTGAGAGGTGGAGATGGCTCAGGGTGTGGGCTTATATAATCCTCAAGTGAATTCCCCAGGCGTTTGCGGCAGTTGACGCAGCCAGGAGTTCCAAGGAGCTTACCTGGCAGTCCCTGTTCTACGATGCTGTGACTGGAAAACTACAGGAGCCGCTGGCCGATGAGCTCATCGAATTCGATGAGTGTACTGCTCTTTACACTGTGGACAACATAGAGATCCTGCTGGCGGCTGGCTACAAGATTCGTCGCTGCGGCAAGTTGGAATCTAAGGATATTGAGAGATATTTGGAACGCCAGGATGCCGTGTCCACGAAGCGCACTTTCAAAAGGGAGTTGGATACCTGCGCACCTGCGAACCGTCAATGCTACGTGGATACCGTGAGTTTTTATCTTCGACTAATTAACTTTTACAGTAGAACTGTGACTAAGAGTTTTGTTACGAATAGGTTCTGAATCTATTCAGCTCGGTGCGCCCTTACCGCTACGATCGTCGCCGCCGCAGTGCCTGCATTCTCCGTGAAGTGGAAAAGGCACTGATCAAGCTGAATGCAGCTTCCATCTCTCTGGCCAATTGCATCGCCCAGAGTCAGCCACAGCCACTGCCGCCCCAGAACACCACAGCCGGAGGACCTGGATGGAACACTACACAGTTCCCCAACACCAATACCACTCCCAACTTCACCCTCACCACAATTTATCCGAACTTAAATACCACTACCGAAGGTCCATGGTTGGGAAACACCACTACTCAAGGTCCATGGTGGGGAAATAACTCTACTCAAGGTCCATGGTGGGGAAATAACTCTACTCAAGGTCCATGGTGGGGAAACACCACTACTCAAGGTCCATGGTGGGGAAATAACTCCACTCAAGGTCCATGGTGGGGAAACAACTCAACCGAAGGTCCGTGGTGGGGAAACAATTCTACGGAAGGTCCATGGTTGGGAAACACCACTACTCAAGGTCCATGGTGGGGAAACACCACTACTCAAGGTCCATGGTGGGGAAATAACTCTACTCAAGGTCCATGGTGGGGAAACAACTCAACCGAAGGTCCGTGGTGGGGAAACAATTCAACCGAAGGTCCATGGTGGGGAAACAACTCAACCGAAGGTCCATGGTGGGGAAACAACTCAACCGAAGGTCCATGGTGGGGCAATACTACTACTCAAGGTCCATGGTGGGGAAACACCACTACTCAAGGCCCATGGTGGGGAAACACTACTACTCAAGGTCCATGGTGGGGAAACACCACTACTCAAGGCCCATGGTGGGGAAACACTACTACTCAAGGTCCATGGTGGGGAAACACCACTACTCAAGGTCCATGGTGGGGAAACACCACTACTCAAGGTCCATGGTGGGGAAACACCACTACTCAAGGCCCATGGTGGGGAAACTCTACTACTCAAGGTCCATGGTGGGGAAACACTACTACTCAAGGTCCATGGTGGGGAAACAACTCAACCGAAGGTCCATGGTGGGGAAACAACTCAACCGAAGGTCCATGGTGGGGAAACAATTCAACAGAAGGTCCATGGTGGGGAAACAACTCAACCGAAGGTCCATGGTGGGGAAACAACTCAACCGAAGGTCCGTGGTGGGGAAACAATTCTACGGAAGGTCCATGGTGGGGAAACAACTCAACCGAGGGTCCATGGTGGGGAAACAACTCAACCGAAGGTCCATGGGGGGGAAACAACTCAACCGAAGGTCCATGGTGGGGAAACAACTCTACTGAGGGTCCATGGACAAACACCACCCAGACTCCACCGACAGACACCACTGCCTGGGACAACACCACTTTGGAGCCCAACTGGAACAGCACCACTCTTGGCCCCAACATAAGCTCCAGTGAAGGTCCATGGATCGGCAACTCAACCCAGGGACCCCTGAGCACTACCGAAGCTCCTGGGTGGAACAACACCACTGCCAGTTTGAACACTACAACCGTGGACGACAGCACCACCACCACGGGCAATTGGTTTGACAACCTGATGAACGAGATTGGATCCCTCTTCTAGACTCAAAAGCAACGAAAAGCACACCTCAACTGTGAGGTCAGTGCACTAAGCTTTAGGAAAGCAAATAAATAAAGTTATCAGCATGGAAAAGCTTTGCGATTATGCTCGATTGGCGGGCCAATCAATGCGGGCCGGGTTGATAAGTTGATAAGCCATGGCCTCCAATGGGAAGCGGGAGCTCCGCAAATTAAACAGAGACCGCAGCCACCCACTGGAGTACGGACTGATTAAGATTTATTAGCCAACTGGGGAGACCACGTGTCGCAGACGGTTGGGCAAAATGATGGATTTCAGTGAGACGTCAGCAAAATATTGCCGATACTCCGGACGTGGCCTTGAGCATCCGCTTGGAGTGGATGGGTGACTCCACCAGAAACCCGCATGCATAACGAGCTCGGAAGCTCCATAATTAGTTAGGATCTAGCGATGGGGCTTCAGTAATGAGCTGTCTGCTTTACTGAGTTGTGTTTCCCAGCTAAACCAATAAAATAATCATGGATTAAGTAAACGTTGCTGGTGGGGCAGAAATCACAGAGGCACTCCTGCAAAGGAATTCGAGCAGCCGGCCGAAGGTTGAATAATTGCACATGGCTGACATTTGCATAACCTCCTGTCTGGCAGTCAGCCTATAGACCGGTGGTGCAGAGGAGGTGCAGCGGTGGGGCTGCGATGGTGGTGCTACGCTGTGCTTCTGCCACACAAAGGGAACTGACCTAAACAATGGAGGTATGCGCAAAACTTTTAACCTCAGCGGCAGTAGATAAATCAACCTGGATCATCACCCACAGCATTCGTTGTCAGCACACACCTTCATTGTGTGTCCTGCGAAGGGTAAATCCCCGACAGATTCAAATGCACTGCGACAAAAGAGGGTAAAGGTAGCTCTCGTTCCAGATATACTCGTATGTTGTATAGCTTTTAGCAGCTATGCTATATCAAATATATCGAATGCTATATCAAATATTATTGTATTAAACAAACTATTTGCGCGCGGTGTATCCTCTCTCCATTTCATTGGTTTGCGGGGCTGCCAGTAACATTTACGCCGCTGGAAGTGTGTGTGCTCAAACATTTTCCCACACTGACCTGGCCACTGCAGCTATAAATTGCAGCAGGACCTTTGCCCACCGCGTTTGTATGCGTGCTGGTGTTTGCCTGTGTGTGGGTCAATATTTTTTCATGTTAATTCAACTTGCATGGGTGCGGCACACGGGGCGAATGTGTGATGGTGATGAGGCAAGTCCCGGGCTCCAGGAATGTAAATCAAGGCGGATGCCCACTACCGAATCCGAATCTCACTTTGGATCGCCATTGCGCTTTAACTTTTGCCCCGCATCGCGAAAAGTTTTAATGGAAGTGCTTGGATTTAAGCGATCAATTAACATTAATTGCCGAATGCAGGGCGAAACTTCATAAAAATGTTGGCCCTAGGTGATTAGATTCCAGACAAAGGATTGACCCTTTGGAAATCAAAAGTTTTCCACGGCCAGCATCCCCAGCATAACACTTAATCCAACGATGAGCGTTACGATGTTCTCCGCTAAATTGCCAATTAAGATTTTTAACGATACTGCCCGTGAAGACTGGGAAGATGGCAAACTTGAAATTAGTAAGTCATTAAAGTGCGACCCGACAGGGCAAAAAAGAGAGCAACCTGTCACGGAATCCTTAAAGAGCTTGCGCTAAAAGGTGCGGGTGGGCGTGGCTGTAAGGGTGGTGGTGGTGGGCGTGGCCATTGTGGGAGACACAGCAGCCGACAGGCTGACGTTTGGGTAACTAATAGGCCTTATTTGCATGTTAATTGCTCTTGACTAAGTCAACACCAACAGGAGCAGCAGCAGCAGCAGCCGCACCAGCGAGGGTAAACGATGGCATAAAAGTATTATAATAACAGTAGCACAATTTCCCAAGCAACAAGAATAATGAGCGGGCAAAGCGGCTAAGGAAAAACGCACTCAGACTGGGTGGCTGACAACCAACTCACGCTTTGCATTATTTTCAGCCGAAAAGTAGGCAACACCCGTCTAATGAACCCATTAAATTTACCAGCCCAATTAAATTATGCTGCCATTTTCTGTTTGTTTTAGGCCACACCACAAACCAGCACATTGTAACCCGACATTGATATCTCTGTGCTGATAAATCACTAGCGTCACATTCCCCGATGGTGGCCATAATTGTGTGCTGTTCGTTTTGCAGCATGCAACATGCAGTGCCGCACACTCGTATTTCACAGTCAGTCCGCAAACTATTTGCCTAATGACAACACATAAAGAAGCGTGCCGCAATATTCCAAAAACACAAATAAATAAATAGTTTTTCTTCATTTGCCGCTTGCGTTTCCATTTATTTTAATTTCATTTTTAGAATCTGCATATGCATTTCGCTGTGGTGTGTGGTTTTGTGGGACGAGTGGACAAAATGGAGGAAAAACGGATATAACAATTTCTCTAACTAACGCCATCAGCAGATAAACTAACAACTGAAACTTTGGCATACAAGCGAAATTATGCAAAACTTCTGGCAAAGCTAAGTCAAAGCCGTATATTTTGCCAGAGGCGAAAATAAATATAATCAGCACAAATATTTGTCATTTTTAGACAAATACTTTAATATTTGTAAGCTCTTGCGACGCATTTTTGCATAACTAGTTGATTAGTATTTATATTGCAGATATATATAAAAAATCATTCCTAGTAATAAGTAAAATATCTAGCTACATCACATTGAGCACATATTGGAAATCAAGCGCTTAAACATAATTTTAACAAACTCTTTTCCGGCTTAAAAAATACTATACTTTTAGAATGCTCTTCTAAGTAAAATATCAAGGTTATTTAGTTCATTTATATTCAAATATTTAGTTTCATTTCAGCCTAAATAAACTATTTAATATGGGTACAAGTTGATCTTAATAGCCCCACACAAAAGCCTTAATGCTCTCGAATGTAATTACTCATTATGCTAATGCAGAGTCCCTTAATATAATTATATAAATTTGATAACTGAATGGGAACGCATTTAATTGCAACAAATCAGAAGCGGAAAACAAAACAAATTAATTGAGCTGAAACTGCTAGCCATTTTGTTAAATCGATCAAAGTTAATTGAAGTCGGTTCGCGGCACATTTGCATGTCATACATATTTAACAAACAGAGAAACACTCGGCATACATGAGTGCAACAGCAGTGGAAATTAGCATAATTTCCACACGCAACATGCAACACGCGGGCTCTAATCAAAGAATTACCCTTCGTGCTCCTCAGCAATTTGCGCATAGTTATGAAAATGTACAATTTACCGCGAACAGAGACAGTCGAAAAAACAAGTTAACGAAACTCCAAATTGAAGCACGCAATTTCAGCCCCAATTTGTGGCACATGCAAGGCCAACTCGCAACAATTGCCGGGCACTAAAGATCGTACGAGCAATCCCGCTATATCGACCTCAACACATCATATAAATAAACCATTAATTTTCAATGAAACAGTGAAACCCTTTGCCACGTGCCAGAAAAAAGGCCAAGAAGGAAGCGAAATCACATGCAATAAAAATCGTAATTTGTATAGTAAATATGTGAGCGAGGTGTGAAAGCCATAAAATCACGAAGATATGCCACGTGCAAGACCAGGTGACTGAGATGGGGGAATACGGCCATTTGTGCAGTGAGTTACATACTTAGCTCACACTTAGGAAGCCCAGGCTGCTAACTATGAAATAGACATAGTCAGGTTTATCCTTATCTTTTACCGCAGGCCATGCCCATAAATTCACAAGTGCGCCCATTAACGCTCGAGTCTGGCCGAAGTCCTTAAAGCATAAAAGCCGCGTCCATAAATTTGCCAGCCTAATACAATGTCGCCTCGGCCAGCGAGCATAATGGCCTAAGTAAGCGGTTAACACTAGCAGAATGAGGGAAAATTCCCGGCGAAAAGCCGAGGGAAAGCCCAGACAATGGCTTTTCTCGACCTCAGCCGCAACTGCGGAAGACTCCATTAAATTGTCAATTGTAGAGAGGCAGCAGTGAAATGAAATTGAAACGAAAAAGTGAAAAAAAGAAAAAACACCTACCTATATATGTATATTGTGGGAATATATCTGCATGTCGGCCTCCTTCGTAATTGAACTCTACAATTGTTGAATTTACTGCAATTTTATGGTCTTCGGTGGACGCAAATTGTGCGCTCGCTGATTGAAATAAATTGAAGCTTAATGCCCGCGAATATTGAAAAAAGTTTTCTCGATTTAATGGGCTTCTGATTCAATTACGCATTCGCCGTGTGGGCCAGCAGCCGTCCGCATTTATCATAAAACTGGTTACCCGGCCATAATTACGGCTATACAAGTACAGCCGGCAGCTCCACATTCAATCAGTTGGAAAAGTGCACACCTAAACAGTTGAACAATTGAGCAGCGAAGCCATTGAATGGCCACACAACTTCGTGTAAACAATTGTGCACATAAATTGGCGTGTTATGTTAGTTTTGGGGGTAATCGCTTTTTGGTAATGCTTTGTTTTCCCTATTTTACCCCATTTTCCCATTTTTTTTCGCCGCTACCATTCAGTTGCATGCCACACGAGAGACTGGCTATTTAAGAGTTGCCATGTGCATGCAGCTGAATGCATTTCCCGCGAAGCGCAGCTATTCGCGTCCCAAGCCTTTTAGTTATTTTTTTGGGCTGGCTCAGCGGAAACCATAATAGTCACATAATGATACAAATGCCACTAAAGGGGTCATTATGCGAGGCACGATTGAATTATGTTACATGTGCCGATATGAGTTATGAAATTTTTTAATATAAATACAATGTGACCCGTCTTTTGTCCACCATGTTTTAAACAACTGCATGTTTCAATCAATGCCGACACATTTGAAATGAAACAGCAGTGAAAGGATAAACATTTATGCACACTTTCTTCATTTAGCTCTCATCTTAATCTTGCATTACTTGTAGCATTTCGCAGCCTGCTCAACAATTTGTGGTGCTTTTTGTGGCAGCTGGAAAAGCGCATTGCCTGCCACGTCCGCCCTTTGTTTTTCCTTGCTTTAATTAAAAATGTGCTCGCCTGCTTTTGTGCT